ATATGACTGATCATAGAAAAATCAATATGGGGAGAGAGTGAGTAAAAGGATATCGATAAAAATCTACTACCGGAAACGGAATATACATGACGTATGACGGATCGACGACGATGCCCGCGTGCCACGAAACCGTCACGTGGGTCATACTAAACAAACCCATTTACATAACAAAACAACAGGTTCGTAATTATGTTTTTTTTTTTAAATTTGTTTTTCCCATTGGATGGATTTTTGTTTTTCTAAGTTCTTTGTTGCCCCCACCCTCTCTCCTCCCTTCAGAACGACTTCGACCCCCCAAAATTAATTATTTACACTACGAAAGGCGATTTGTTGTTGTTGTTGTTTTCATGTCGAATCAACGAAACATTTAATAATAATGTTTATTCGCGTGATAGGTCAAATCCGAAAAGGTTTTTCTTATTAAGATTACACGTTTATTAATATAAAACAAAATAGTGTGTGTGTGTGTGGTGGTCGTTGGTGCCACGTCAAAGAAAAGAAAAAATTAATTATTGATTGGTTAACCGAGTTTATGCTTAATTTAATTAAATATGGAATTAGAAAAAGGTGAGAGTGAATGGAAAAGAATAAGAAAGAGAAAGATGGAAAGGGAGAAAGAAAGAGAGAGGGAAAGAGAGAAAGAAAGAGAGGGAGAGAAAGAGAGAAAGAAAGTAATAGAGGGAGGGAAAGAGAGAAAGTAAGAGAGTGAGAGAGAGAAAGAAAGTAAGAGAAAGAATAATAAAAAGAAAGAGAGAGAGGTAGAGAGAGAATAAGGAGGAAAAGGTAAAGAGAAAGACGGAAAGGGAGGAAAAAGAGAGAGGGAAAGAGAGAAAGTAAGAAAGAGAGAGAGAGAGAAAGGGAATGAATGAAGTAATTTTTAAATAAGTTTCGGTCGTTGTTACAATAATAATAATAATAATAATAATAATAATAATAATTTTCGCGCTTTTTATTTTTAAAACACGTTGCGTTTGTTTTTAAAATAATATTATTAATAATAATAATAATAATAAAAACCGCGAAAACATTCGCAACAGAGAAAAGAAAAAAAAAAAACATCATCTCTCTCTTTTTCTCTCTCTTTTCGGAGTAAAAGTATTTTGCTAAATATATAAACGAGTTTTAAAGCAATTTTCTAAGCGATGAAATTAACGCTTAACTGATTTTAAGTCTTTCGTTACGACAGCGGAAAAATTTTTTTTTTTCTTTCTTACAGCGAGAGTAAAATTAAGTTAATTGGCAGTTGGTTCTCATCGAATTCGACATCTTTTATTTTTCTCCTCCTTCTCTCCTCCTTTCCCTCCCCTCCCTCGCTTCTCTCACTTCTTTCATCTCTTTTCATCTTACGGTTTTATTTTATTTTTTTTCATCTTCCTCTCTCTCTCTCTCTCTCGTTTTTCTCTCCTCCTCTCGAAATATTATTTTCTTCTCCCCGACCGTATTATCGGTTTTATTATCAATTTTTTAATTTTCTTAGCTCGCGCAAAAGTGTAATTAGATATTTATTTTAGTGACACGTCGATAATTTAATTATTAATTTTTTAATTATCGTTTTCTCGCCATGATGATGATGATGATGATGATGATGATAATATATCCGAAAACGAGGGGAGGCGCGGGAGTGTGCGTTTTAAAATTATCGCGTTTTAAATTCTCGTAAAAATTTATTATTGAGACGTTTATTTATTTATTTATTTTATGCGTCGGTATTTAATTACTTAATTATTATTATTATTATTATTATTATTAACTCTTGTCGCGTTGTTAAATAATAATAATAATTAATTGTTAATTTTTTTTTTAAATAACTGTCTCTCTCTCTTTCGGTGTCTGATTCTGACGCTGCGAAGAAACAAGAAAAACAAAAAAAAATTAATTCTTCAAATTATTATTATTATTATTATTATTATTATTATTATTATTATTATTATTATTATTATTATTATTATTATTATTATTATTATTATTATTATTATTATTATTATTATTATTATTCGGAAAACAAAAAGGCGGAAGTTTTTGATTTATTTAATATTTTTTTGTCTCTCTCTCTCTCTCTCTCTCTCTCTCTCTCTCTCTCTCTCTCTCACTCTCTCTCTCGAGTTTATAAAATTCTTTTTAATAAAGTATAAGCGAGTTGAAATTAAGACACAAAAGATTTTTTTTTTTTTTAAACTCTCTCTCTCTCTCTCTCTCTTTCTATCTCTCACTCTCTCTTTTTCTTTCTCTCTCTTTTCCCTTTCTTTCGTAGTATCCAATTTATTCCGTCTTTCTCTTTCTCTTTTTTTTAAAATATTTTTTTGTTCACCGTGACATTGTAAAAAAAAAAAAGTTTATACTTTCTTACAACAAATTTAATAATGTTTAAAATCGTTAAAAGAAAAAAAAAGAGAGAGAGAGAGAGAGAGAGAGAAAGAAAGGGGGGAAGAAAGAGAAAGAGAGAAAACTACGAGCAAATGAAAAATCATGAATAAAAAAAAAAAAGAAAGAAAATTTCCTTTGACAGAAAAAACTTTTTTTTTTCTTCTTCTTCTTTATGAAAAACTGACGGATTTTTACCCGTCAAACTCATTAGATATGTTTTTCTTTAGAGATTTTTGTCAAAGGTAAAACAAAAAAAAAAAAATTTACCTTTGAGAAAAGGAAAAAAAAATTTTTTTCGTTTTAAAATTAAAAAGAAATTTTCTTTCTTTTCCTTTTTCTTTTTCCTTTTTTTTTTTTTTTTTTCGTAAACGATATATTTTTTTCATTTGCGGTATTTAAATGAAAAAAAAAACGTGGCAGGAGTTATTATTGTGTCACTGCCCTCTCGACTCATTTTCTTTTCCTTTTTTCCATTTCTTTCCTTTTTTTCTTTTCTTAAATGTTATTGACGTAATAATAGTTTTCTAAAAAAAAAAAAAAAAACGTTTTTTTCTCTTCCGTTTCCGTCTTTTTTTTTTTTTTTTTGTTTAAAACGAGGGAGAAAATTGGTTTAGGTAGAGCGTCAGGATTTCCGGAGCCGGAAATCCTTCACCTTATCCGTTTACCTATTATTTAAATTATTCCTTTTTAAATACTCATTCATATTCTTTTCGGTTTCGTTTTATTTACTCAATCCGCCATTTTTTCTTCATTTTATTTGTTCATTTATTTTTAACGTTTTATCGATCGTTTCCGGTTTTCTCTTTTCCTCCTCTTCTCTTCCCTCTCACAATTTTATTATTTTATGTATTTTCAAATGATAATTTTTTTTTTTTTTATGTGTGTGAAAAAGTACGTGTGAAATTTTTTAAAACGAAAACGGAAACGAAAAAAAACCCGCGAAAATTTCAAAAAAAAAAAAAAAAAAAGGAAATCGTTTTAATCCCGTTACGATTCATTTCCGTTTCATTTGTTTTTGTTGTTATTATTATTATTATACGGATGAAATTGATTTTGGAATGATTGTTGAACAAAAGGTGCGAACATCACCTGTGAAAAATTATCCCCTTCTCCCCCTCTCCTTCCTCCCCCTCGAAAAAAAAAAAAAAAACTTTCGTTTGATTTAAAATCTAAAATGAAAATCTAAAAACGAAAAAAAAAAAAAAAGGAAGGAAGGAATATAAAGGATTTGTAAGTCACGCACGAACGAACGGGCGAACGGGTGGGAACGAACGGGCGCGAACGGGTGGAAAGGAGAAGGAAGAAATTTACAAGAATTAGTAATAATTTTCAAAGGCAGACAGTCAGACATTTTAGTTTGCGTGATACCAGGGTGTTGATTAACTCTCTCTCTCTCTCTCTCTCTCTCTCTCTTTCTTTCTATCTCTCTCGGCATAAAAGTTTTATAATGTTTTGAGGCATCTCCCCACCCCCCCTCTTTTTCGCACACATTCATTCCAATAAGCTCCCCACATATTCGTTTCGTTTATTATTACGTTTCAAGGTCAAATATAATTTTCCTAAATGAAGACTTCAATCATTAACGCGATGGTCATGTATTTATATACGATTCGACGCCATTTTTAAAGCGAAAGAAAATTCTAAAATCACGAACGCGTTTAATTTCTTACACGCATATATATACACATGTGTGTGTGTGTGTTTTTTTAAAGTCTAATGACACGTTAAAAAGAAAACTTTCAAAGCGTTATTATCGATTTTTAAAATGTGAGTTTTATCAATGATAAAAACAAAAAACGAAACGAAAAGAAAACTTTTAGTAATTTTAAAACCACCCTCCCCCTCCCCTTTTACCTCCCCGTGTTGCGTGCGTGCGTGCGTGTTAAAATGGCGCCAAATCGTAAAAAAAGAAAAACCGCGAAGAAAATTTTTTTTTTGTTTTTCACTCGGAAAATCATCTGTAAATTTGCTTAAACGTTTTTCAAAGATTTCGACTGATATCCGACACAGCCCCCCTCGCGGCCCCACATCCCGCCCCCACTCTTTCATTTATTTCAAAGAGTGATTGAGTATGATGATGATGATGATAAACTATATAAATAGTTAGTTAAATGCGATGAATGGTTAAACGCGGTGTAAAAATAATATCAAAAAAAAAGAGAGAGAGAGAAAAAGAGAGAGAAGACGAAATTTTCTAATTAGTTAAAATTAAAAAGTAAATAGTGTGAGTGAGTGAGAGAGAGAGTGGGAGAGTGGGGGAGAGTGAGAGAGAGAGAGAGAGAGAGAAAAAGTTACGGGAAAGAAGTAATGAAAATGCACGAAAGGGTGAAAATTCAATGAAAACGACGACGATGATGTTTTAATTGCATGTGATAACTTTATTTATTCTCTAGGGGAAAATTATTTTTTTTTTTTTCGTTTAACATGAGGGGGAGAGGGGAAACGAGGGTAGAGAATGTGGGGGCGGATAAATGTAAAATAGGGAAAAGTGAATAAAAAAAAAAGTATTATTATTATTATGACGACGCGTATACTTTTCGTATAGGAATAAAAAAAAAGTAAAAAAGTAAAAAAAAATCGGTAGGGAAAAATGGCGTCGGTCGAAGAGGGAAAAAAAAAGGGAAAAAAGGAAGGAAGGGAAATTTTTTTTTTTTTTTTTCGTATGTTGGTAAAATCATTTCCGCAACGAAACTTTTGTAAGTTTTATTTAGCCAATTTAACGTTTGAATATTGTTACGATTTTTTTTTCTCCCTTTTTTTTTTCTTTTTCACTCCTTCTTCTCTTCTTTCTCTTTTCTTTTCTTTTCTTTTTGAAAGGTGAAAAAAAAAAAAAACAAAATGTTATTATAAAAAAAAGGTTTTTTTTTTGATAAAGGAAAAGAGAAAAAAAAAAGAAAACCGGAAAGTATAAAATGAGTTGGTAAAAAAAAAAAAAAAAAAAAAAAGCAGTAAACTTTGATTTGCCATTAGGAAAGAAAGAAAGAAAGAAAGAATGAAAGTGAGAAAAAAAAAAAATTGGAAAGTGGAATGAGAGAGAAAGAGAGAGAGAGAGTGAGAGAAAGATTTTCCGGGTGCGTTCATTTTCCTTCCGGATGTAATTCCAATATCATTTCATACGGAACATTTCCCAAAATGGTTGTTACAGGTTGAACCTTGAGAATTAACGTTAAAAACTTTTCATTTTTAACTAAAAAAAAAAAAAAATAGG